CAGGTCTCGCGCAGGCCAGGTCTCGCGCAGGTCAGGTCTCGCGCAGGTCAGATCTCGCGCAGGCCAGGTCTCGCGCCTGTCTCTTATACACATCTATTGACGGCCTTTCAAGCAAAATCCACCAATCATAGACAAGAAAATAGAGCGTAAGTACTTACGTTCACTTAGCGAGTTTTGAAAGTATGGCCCCAGGTCGTGATCGTTTTTTCGCGAGTTGCAGCTCTAGAGTATTCATGTTTATTTTACGCAGAAGCTCCAAAAGAAAATCGTTCATGAATTACAACAAACATCACATGAACGTTACTTCTGGCAGCTGCATCTTCAGACATCAGTTTACCTTGTTACTAACAACCATGAATAATAATTCAGTGTTATGATCTTACTTATTACTGATACTTATTAACTTGAAATTCAAGAAGTTTTATCCAAATCAAACTACGACTCAGCTAGAAGCAACATTTTTATGGACCGATATTATGGCTATCGAACTTCACAAAAGCAATCCGTCGATTATAAAATGTAATCGAGTTATTGCACAGCTGCGCCGCTGCAATCAAATTTTCATTGAGAATTTGTTGCGAGGAAGAAACCGAAAAAATCAAATTGAAAATCGAAGCACAATTTTTGATGTTTGAAACTATCTATTCGCCGAAGGCCAATGCATGTATTTATATTTATTTTCAATGCCTATGTATGTATTTAATTTGAAATTCCAAATTTGTGTCACTTCTGTCATTCACAATTATCTACCTGCAAATGGCAGCGAGACATATTCGACACATTTCACTTATAGCTTCAAGATCTAATCTTCTTTTTTAGAAATTGAATAATTAATTCTAATAAAGTTACGGGGATCATGAAATCAATATCAATTAAAGATGGAATGGAACTAGAACTACAATACATATGTACAAATTGTGCACATATGGACAAACAGGCTTAGGAAGCCATTCCCGACGTCAAAACTTCAGTTTTTCCTAAGTAATCATAAACTACTTCGTAAAACATGGGAAACTGTGGGAAATATGTCGCCTTGTATAACCATAACTCAATTGTGACAGTATTGAAAAAATCCAGTAAATTAAAAAATCATAAATAACCTGGGTCAAAAACGAGCTTAGTCTTCATACACATAAATACGACTTAGGAGCGAGAACCTATCAGCGTATAATGGCTTTACATTTGAGCTGTTAATTCAACAGAAAAAGATACAAGTAAAATAAAATTCCGTTTAACTCTCCTCAGTTTACGTCACTTTCTTTCGTTTTACTTACAGCTCACACGGTAACACCAGCTACCACGGTAACACCAGCTACCACGGTAACACCAGCTACCACGGTAACACCATGGTAGCCTAATCAAGAGGCAACCACGCAAGGTTGTGAATTATATTGTTCTATTGTTCTATATTATACTTTAGAACTAGTTATATTGTTCAATATTCTCCCGTAAAGCGTTAAGTACCGAACATGATAAATCATACCAGTAATGGTTTCTCTGGTTTCCCCAACACAAATGTGAACAGCAAGGAATCCGTGGAGACAGAAAGGCAACACAACATAGTCTCAAATTTAGAACTAATTTTTGAAGGAGCCTTCACAGAATCATTAAATTCAAAACATTACTGTTTCTGGGTTGAGAATTAAATTCGTATACACATTGAAAACAACGATTGAGAGGAACATTGTATTTTCATTCGGTTGAACCATGAGTTTCTACGACTAAGAACTAAACAACTGCGCAATTAATCGCCACATTGAGAACCTTTACGGTTCACCTATACTTTGATATCAAATTAGTACAATTACTATTGATGGGTTCATTACTAAATTTACTTAGCAAGCAGCCTTCTAATTCTCAGTGCAAATTCTGTATTCAAAATAACAATACTTTCCAAGTGAATTTTTCTTACAAAGTCAACATTTTATTTTTCACCTAGTTTCAAACTACTATATCAATTACTATTGATTTGATTTTATGCAATTGTTTCTTCGGTAATTCTAAAATCAAGGAAAAAATCGAACACTGCAATGTAACTAATTACATCCTATGAATTAAAATATGTTTCTGTACACATTATTTTACAAATGCACAAAAGTCGCCGCAATAGCCAAATCAGGAAAATCAGCTAGGATTTTAAACACTAAAACTCCATGAAGAACGTATCACAATTCAACTCTTAATTCTAAAACTATGAACATTTTAAGTTACATAATTACGACTTAACAACCTTTTGGTGTGATATGTTGAGCCTCAGACAACTCACTTGAATCTCAGCGCATGAGACAAGAGCGCGTGGTCGAGCGCGCATCTTGGCAGCACAGCGCCGTTGTAGGATGGCAGGATAGGATGCAGTCCGTAGTACGGGAAAGAACTTTGCAGCAACGGATGCATAACTTGCGGTCTGAGGTGAGGTGACCGCCACGACTGCTGCTTGCTTGCCAGGGCTGCTGGGCCCGTAAGTTGGACCGCTGGGCCCGTAAGTTGGACCGCTGGGCCCGTGAGTTGGACCGATCGCTTAGCGTCGGTTCATCTGAACCTAGACGCGCCCAAACCAACAGGGCTGGCAGGGGAAGGAATGAGGGGTGATCCTGATAGTTGAGGCAGCAGTGCGTTATTTGAGAGGACATTTGAGTGGTGTGAGGCGCGGGGAGGCGATGTAGATGGATGTTGTGGCCATAATACGCCTTTATACTGAATGCCATTGATTTCCATATTTATCGACAGAGACTGGCCGGTTGGAGTGCCGTTGTGATGGCTGCCGTTACGGTTGTTTTCTCCCGAGGCTAAGACGAGATAATCAATGCATGAACACCTTAGTAAATAACTGAACACCGTAAAACAAATTAATCTAAAACATATAAATATATCTCATTTGCCGATCACCTGTTCTTTAATAAATGCACGTCAACGACGTATTCGATGATGATTAATGACGTAATGAAAACTTAAATGTAATATTCAGGAACTTAGACACAAACACTGAGAAAAGATACTAACACTCGTGAAAGAAATATTAACATGGCGTATCCGTGATGTGCTCACTGCATCGTAACAATTCGCGCGGCTGACACGTGCAATAACAAATTTATTCATAATGAAGCCTGTGATGATTGCAAGTTGATGACGATTTTAAAAGACGATTTGAAATGAATACTCACGGTGGGAGTTGATCTCAATATTGGAGCCTGGCATGGACGTGGCGCAGGAGGAGATCATGTCACGGACGGAATTGTCGTCCTCGTGGAGACGCTTGGCGGAGGGTGGGAGTCCGTTGCTCTCCTCGCCGCTCAGCGGGCTCTCCTTCTTGGCCGAGCGCGGCATCACGTCGAACTTAGCAGCGAAAAAACATAAGTGTAACAGCTTTGGCCCATGCAGTAATTCAAACTACCTAAACCGGGTTTACCTAAATAATGAGTAACAAGACATTCAACCGGTTGGATTTCATAGTGCGTATAGTATAGCGACGCATTGTAAAATTGGAGATACGAAATTGCTATGCCAAAAAATAACATTCAATTTCAGTGAGAGCTGGAATTTAATGTACTGGAAATGTAAATGAAAAACATGTGTTCTGGAAATATAAATAAGTGTACGGCAAAATAAATAAGTAGAGCTGCGACCATTACAGCTCTCAAATCAATCAGATCAAGGTAATTTCTACTTTCAAGTATGCTTGCCGACATCAAAACAGTAACATGAAATTCAAAAATTCAACTGAATAACCAGTTTGGCATCATACCTCGTCTTTAACATCAAGATTGAGAGCTTCGCGTTGCGGAGGATGTGGAGGAAGAAGACTGTGATGAGGATTCATATGATTCCTGTCATCATCTTGTGGCTGCATCATACCAGCTCCTATACTATTGCCCATCATAACATTAGGCACCCCGCCACCACCAGCAGCGAAGTTATGGTTATATAATTTCCAGATGCTCAGGCGCGCCGCGTCCGCCACCGCCGACTGATGGGTGCTGCTAGGCGGAGAGCCGCCGCTGCCTGTGTACAAATCAGCGCACACAATGTTGATATTTAAAAATATTGCAGGAAAATTAAAATTATTATCAAATAAATATAATAGTATCAAGATACATTACTTGATAAATATTATCAAGTACGGTGTCTAAATAGTTTAAAGTTCCCATCGTGAGTGGCAGGATTAAAATATTTATATTCCACCGTGACCAACGATGTACCCGAATTTCGCTAGGGTAATTTGAGTGCAATTTAATTACAGAAGCAATCATATTTCACTTAAAAGTTCAAATACACAAGTGAACTTTAAGGGTTTCTGAATTGCTAACCTCGCAATTACTAGGTTCACAGGCAATGCAAAATCATTCAATAAGTGAAACTTATTTCATACAAAACCGGATCGGGAAAGTTTTAAACTTGGATACGTTAATAACCCTAGAGGTTCTCACGGCAGCAGACATCTGAAGGTACTCACCAACCGGGGATGCCATTTCCGTTGAGCTGTGGACGCGATACGAGTCCCAGGGGCGGGCCGTGAAGCCGAGGGAGGCCGGAGAAATGTTGTAGGTTCTGGAAGTTCATGAGCGCAGGCTGTCCCATGTCTCCGTAGCCCCCAGCTGCGACGGCACGCAACAAAGGAAGGGTTTATGTTTCATTTCGTGTATATGTGGTGTAATTAGTACGATCATAATATCTTTCTTCACGATTGAATTTACCAACTGACAGTAACGAGGAGAATAACTCTCTATGATTCCTGTCTTCCCATAGCGTTTGAACTGAATGTGGTGTGTAACGGAACCAAACTACTGTGTGTAAAACAATTGCAAACAATTTATTACACCAGCAAAAAATTATACACAAATCGCCTTCTAATCCACGACTCTTTAATATAAATGCATTTCCTTATGTTTTCTACCCAACCTTTCTCACCATACGAAGACCGACGGCCTTCCCTCCGATTGCCATCGATGGCAACTTGAAGCTCCTGAGGATTGCTGAGCTTGTTTTTCTCACACTCATACGGATAAATGTACTTCATGTACCTGAGGGGGAAATAAATATAATGATTAGGTCGAGACGTTCGACAATATCACGTTTTGGCCAAAGTTGTCGGCGTCGCTACAGGAACGAAGTCGGACGATGAAATGTATGTTCTAAAATCCTTGAACGAGATGTAACTGAACCTCAAAGATAAATAACAGAATGAAAGTAGCACAAAATAAGCCTTGCGATCCCGGCAAACGAAAATAATTTTAGATAATGATAATTTCACGGCACCAGCAAAAGTGCCGTGGAAAGGTAAATCATAAGACTGAAAATAATATAACTCTGCGACAGTGTTTTCGGTATCCGGCAAACGACAGGAAAGTGATTAGGCTTCCATCTTTCGGGCAGTCATTAAAGTAGGAGCTGCAGAGAGCGCCCGATGTGTCATTAGGGAATCTTAAGTCTAATATTTGCATAGGAATGGCGGCAAACTGGCAGTCCTCGCTCAGCTGAAGAGTGGAAGCAGCAGTCGGCAAATGATTGCTTGGGAGACAAAGCTTCCAATGTATGTAAGGGCGAGCAGCAATGCCACGTATACGCGATCTTCTGCGGCTGTCGAGATCGGTAACAACGAGATGCTGCTGCTGCATGCAGAGATATTGCTACGCTGTTGCTGCATGCAGGGGTACGAGGTTGCTGTTACATGCAGAGATCAGAGACAAGACTACGGTGTTGATGTTAGCTGCAGAGATCAGTGCCCTGATTGTATACGGTGTTAATGTCACATGCAGAGATCGGTGACAAGACTACGAGGCTGTTACCATTTAGAGGACACAAACCGAAAAATTTATCATTAGCGTCTTTCTGCAATTATACCCCACAAACAAACAGATGACGATAAATAATCGAGTGAAATGATTCTTCCAATGATTAACAATAATTACCAATATTTGTAATGATTTTGTTCAACAAATTGCAGATAATGTGGAGTCTGCGTCCATTAAAATTTCAAAGATTCAAACTATTTCAATTTTATTGCCAACTTCATTGAACGGACCGACTCTTCGGTTTTGTTAGGTGTGTCAAACGCAATCATTTCTATAAAGCTAGCCATGACTTTTGGCTTAGGAAATCCAAGACAAGAGTTGTATTGCTTAATTTGTCCCCGGAGAACAACACAATCGTTAAGCTGTCGCACTTGACCTAGCAAAACTGAGCCGTTTCAAGCGCAAGCCTCTGTTTCAAGAGTAAACAGAGGAGTCCATGTGGAATCTTTATCGATGGAAACTTGTCGGAACAAAACAGAGCCGTTTCAAGCGCAAGCCTCTGTTTCAAGAGTAAACAGAGGAGTCCATGTGGAATCTTTATCGATGGAAACTTGTCGGAACAAAGGAACTCCTTAAAATGTGTGCTTTTCCTGCCGAAGCGATGGTATAATTTCGGCCTCACTTGAACAAATTCCTCCAAATTTGGTCGGGCAAACACAGCGCCGTTCAAGAGACAGATAATTACGCTGGGGGAACCGGACTCGCTGGACAAGCGAGCGCGGTAGTGGAGAGACGTGAAGGAAATGGCGGCGAACGTACGTACAGTGATCAAGATATTCACGCAATTGTAATTTATTTTAAAACATGCGAAATTACAACATATAAAATTGCTAAGAGAGAATATGAGCTCGTTTGGTAGAGAAAATCTATGTACAACTGCGATCGCCGCTCGCGTATCAAAATCAACAAGGTAATTAATTAGTGATCTTAAAATCCAACACATAATGTTAACTCATTGTTGAAATATATATATTAAGCCCCCAACATATAATGTTAACTCATTGTTGAAATATATACTAAGCCCCAACATATAATGTTAACTCGCCTTTGAAATATATATTTCCAAAAAACTTGTAGTAAGAAAAAATAGGAACACTTGATGGAAATGTTCAATAGGAATAATTTGAATTGAACGAACGAAAAAAAAAAATGCATTTTTAAATTGAAATAAAAGACGCTCAAAATATTCACTTTTACAAGTATAATGAAAGCTTCAGTGACGATCACATAAACTTATTTCATGAGCCTCAATGAGCAAAACTGTTCATGCCTCAGAATATTGCCAGCGAGTTGATATGCAGAGTAATGTACGAAAGTAATATGTTTCATGCCTCAGAATATTCCCAGAGTTGATATGCAGAGTAATGTCTGAAAGTAATCCCAGGATCTTTAGAGCTCAGGCACAGACAGCGGCGCAGCTTAGATGGTGATGCCGAATGATGCATAATTGCTGCTGTCGAGGCTTCACTGGAGAAGCAAACATCACATTCGCACCTGAAGATCTCGCAAAAAATCTAACGAAGCACAAACCAAGGCTAAAGTCAGCCTTGAGCGCGGAGCACTTGACCGTCTTTATTGGTGGGGTGTTTGGATAAAAATGTTATCCTAATTGTTTATATAAAAATGTTATCTAAACAATGATTGACATTCACCATGGCATAAAGAAAATAGTTGGCGCTCCACATTAGAGTTAATGCATGGATGAAGTTTAAATGTATGTAGACTAAGCGAATATCCTTTACAGCAATGTGCCAGGTCAACCTTGTATGGGTAATAGGGCGTTAATATATTGGAGGCGAGGGCATGAGCAAAGATTTATTGTATCATTTGCATCCAGCGCGCACATATAAGCGCAGCTTTACACGAGGCGGGCAGCAGCACTTAACGGCCATGTTGAGCTTATTATTCAAACTATTATGTTCACGAACGTTTACTAAAACTAATTTGCTTATAAAGTCGTAATTATTAGAAATGTCTATTTAATAGGTTTGCAAAAATGTGAATATTTAGCGCTGAAGTACTGCATCGAATCTGCAAAACTTTGGTACCAGAATAAATACTTGTCAGTGTCTTTAAAAATATGATTTTCTTGGACATTATTAGGAGCGAACGGAAAATTATTAAATATATTTTTGAAAGAGAGATATAGCTAAAAGAAGCAAACAGAAGAAAAAGTAAGTATTAAGAAGGATTGTGTCTGTATAAGTTATAGCTTCATTAATGCCACAAAGGCCCTAGCTTGCGATCCGTGCACCCCTATATAGATACGAGAGCGCGGTGAGCTTGCGCGTCGAAGCGTTGCGGTATCAGGCGGCTGCATCTTTATAGGATGATGTTCTTTTGTTTCCTCTGAACCATTGCACGCCGCATGATGGATCATTTCCATAAGTGTTCTCTCTGGCGACGATGAATTAGCACTCGAATCCATTACCTTGGAAACATTCGATGATGGCCAACGATGCAGAATAAGAGCCGTGCCTCCCTAGTACATGACCTTCTGACGAGCAGAACATTGCAATTAAGCTCGAATCTTGAAGATCATTAAACGTATACCAACGCTCTATTCATGGATGAAGTCCAGTCATTTATAACGAATTCTCTCGTAGGCTATGTTGGCTGCCGGCTGATCTTGCAGTCCAGCTTGTCAGCCGCTACGCAAGTGTGTAGCAAACGGATAATATTTTAAATAATTTATTTATTTAGCTTTAATATCAGCTTATATGAATAAACTTTATTCCCGTTAAGATAAATTCGTGTAATATTAATTATTTATGATTCATCGACGTTCTACTGATAACCGCATCGTAATGCAGTGTTATAAATAGTCAGGATATCCGATTTTTTAACGATACTACGTACGTTTACGCGGCATTACAAATGTTAATGAAGTTCAAAGATTCATTCCTTACACAAATTTTGCGGTAATTCAAGCCATGCATCAACGTGCCTTTTGATCCCTGACAATTTAAACTAAAACAACTGCAATTTTCACCCATTTAGTGAACTACAGCATAAGAATTTCAAGGTGAGTAGGCTTAATTCTTTTTTGTCCCTAGTTAAGAAATCCTCCAGCTTAGTTAATCAACAACATGTGAACAAAACAGTAATACTCACTGTGTGCGTAGAGTGAAGGCGGCGCTAGTTATAGACGACGGAAGTTTGAGGCCTTTGATAATTTCCTGCCAGAGTTTCTTATTGATGACGTCGACGAGCCCTCCTCGCGACACGACCAGGTTGTAGAGCTCGTACAGATCCAGCACCTGCTTCGCCATGATGGGTAGTCGGTTTATGGGCGTGCCTGTGGAAAGCAACACAGGGAATGCTTTAGCAAAATTACCGCAATTATTGTGCTTAGTTTGAGTAATTGTAAATGTAGTGAAATGACGGTAGAAAAGATTCAGTTCAATACGCATTGGTTAATAACAGCGCTTAAAAACAGAAAATCTTGAAAAATAAAACAACATTTCTTTATTGTTAGTGTCAGCGTTGTATTATAAATCAAGGGGTTTCAACGCTCTCATTATTCACAAGAAGAGTTTATTTAGATCATTGGTAATGGCGGCACAGATAGTTACCTCGTTGCTGCATGAAGGTGAAGAGGTCGTCAAGGAACTCCCGTCGCTTAACTTCGTCTGATAATTCGTATAACTGAAATAAAAAGTATAGCTTCTAAATGCGTGCATTCTCCTTAACATGTGTCTAACCTAATGGTACTCTGCGATTTTCATGTTAAAAACTTAAACATATCACAGGATATGGGATTTAATTTCATGAATTTTGTACAGCAGGCACCGATTCTCGACAGTTATTTCTACCACGTAGATACATTCTCTATAAACAAATGTAATCTCAAACACTCATGTTGAAAACCACAATTTGAACTGAAGCAAGCCAACATTTTCAAAGCACGTCCAGATCAAATCAAATGCAAAGTAAGGAAATTTTGCCGAGCCCAATTGGTAATTAAAACTCGTTTCAATGAGTATTTTGAATGTTTAAAAGGCATCTTTGCACAATAAACATGTTGATTCCGACGAGCTTGTAATCGCCCAAGGAAACATCACTATCAAGCTACTTGTAAATTTATTTCAAAATCATGAGCTCGAGAAGATTTTTGTTTCATGGATAGAATTAAAACTCCCGATACGACTTGATAAAAATTATAATGAATATCAGTATGAAAAACTTACCTTCCTTTTATCTTCTTCAAATGAAGAGTGTTTAGAAGGCTCCTGATTCTGAAACACAAAAAAAAAATATTATCTTTAATGCGAGTCTAAGAGGAGCACAAGTACACGCTATTCTAAAGTACACGCTATCCCAAATTTCTTTAGCGTTGTCAGAAACAATGAACAATGATCGAGTGATAAAAAAATCGTGGCTCTTCCCATCTACAGAGCAGGCAGTTATGACGATTGTCTCACACGACTCCATTATTTCTAGGGAAATGTGAATACTTCACTTGGAATTTCACAAAAGTGGTACAAAATTCGTAATGTCGAAGTCAAGGCAAGCGATGCGCTTCCCAGCTTAAAGAAAATCGTTCAAAAGCCCAAGTCAAAAGGTCGTGTCTCGTATCAAGAAGAACGCAACGCACCAAGCGATTGGTTTGAACGAAAGGCAAGCGAGCAGAGCAGCGCTTGGAGGAATTAAAAGTGAAGGAAGGGAGGCGTTTGTAAACAAGGGGAAGAAAAGAGCCGCGAGGGACGAGCCCTACTTACTCAAGAGGGGAAATGAACCCTCGTTAAATTGTAAATACTGAAATAGCTTCAAGAAGATATAGGAAACAATGAGCCTCAGCAGTTCCAAGACGGGTCATGGGAACTGAGCATTCCTCGGCAATAAATGCACACAACGAAGGGATTTCTGATTTTGGCGGCCACTTGAGAACGATTAACTCGACTTGTTGGCAATTCGTGTCGTGAGTTATTAGACGTTTCTATTTTGCTCGAAAAACTGGGTTTATTCGAGGCATAATATTGAGGAATATTGAAGTTATATTATGGAAATTCCCTTGAGTAATCTACTGTATAAAAATGCATTGTTAAAGGCCTGCATAAAAATAGAAGATGGATGCTAAGATAAATAAAGATTACACAAATTTCACTTAAGAATGTTCCATTGCTCGCTTGTTCATACGAGATAAATGAAGCGAGTCGACCAAGACATTGTCCTAGGAAGGCTTTACGTCTGATAAGGAGGTCCGCAAAAACTCTTCAATGTTTACGGGGCACGGCGCGGCCGTCGAGCCGAGCCTTATGGCTCCATATGGTCGCCTGCTTAGGGCTGCTTAGCGTTAATTCTGCCTGCAGCGCGCCTTACTGTCAGTACTATTCCTCAGCTACTATTGTCTTTCCATGAGGTGATAATTGAAGAAATCGTCGGGCATCTCTAATGGCATACGTTATTTTCCAGCGCTGCAGGTGGTCGCAAGTGCGCGCGCTTGACGATAGGTCAGTGACGCTTTCTGAGATATAAAACATGTCAAACGTGTCCAGGAATGAAATGTTTGAAAGTAGTTTGCGTGTATATAATCGTTTTTTAGAGTATTAGGATTGAATCATTTAATTTGAAGCTTTAAGTAGTTTTTTACTTAATTTTGAGTATGGCAAGTAATAAAACTCGAATTTTGTGAGCATATTCAAATCAAGCGATCTGCAGTCAAGTGAATGAATAATGGTAGTGTTAATAAAAATAAGGATATTAATACAAAAATTCCACTAGTGTATAACACAAAAGACTCCAAACTTCATGTACGATAGCATCAGCACAGTTAATATCTGCATGACTTCTCTCAACGGCTGGCAACGATCGCATTCTCCATGCTCAGCACTCGAATATTTCCCAAGAAATTGAATCAATTTGCCATATCCTCCTACCAGGCAGCAGCCGTCGCACGGTATTTCCTACATGCTTCTCACAAAGCGCATTCGACCAGTAAAGGCTAAGCGATAAAACCACTGGAGAAACAAAAGTAGTTGTACTGGAGCAGGTCAAAAGCTTCAATCATAATCCGCAAATCAGGGAAAATCTGGCAGGGATGAAGCAGCTCGATAGCTTAGCCAGAGCTTCCTACCCGTTTAGATATTCAAAGACCAATTCCTCTTAACAACATACTTTATATTTTGATCTCTGGTGATGATTGACGCAGAGATTATGGATTCTTCCTAAAGCTCATCATCCGGAGGGTATTATTGCTCGAATATTTAAGACAGGTCGGAAGATCATGGGTACAACGAAGTAGCACTTGGTGACACTTATTCGTCGCCAAGTGTAGAACTGGCGTACGTAGATCAGTGGAATTTATACGAATTGTAGTACTGGAGTACCTAGATCAGTGGAAATTATACGAATTGTAGAACTGGCGTACGTAGACAAGTGAAAATGCTCATGAAAGACGATTTTCAACGTTGTAGAGATCCGACATACAAACGAAAGATCTGTGTTGATTTTATGTTCCCATTTCTGTGACAAGCTTTTAAAATCTTCTTGGAAACACGACTACGTCGGGAAGTTTTGGGCAGAAGAACATTGTACGCATGAGCCATAAATGGGATGTATGTAGTTGAGATATGAAATTGCGATTTTACTTCTAATCCAAGCCCAGAATTTGAGTGAAGTATTGAGACTACAAAGGTTTGACTCGGACAGCTTATAATTCATACAGCAGGAGCATTCCGAGCCGTAGGGAAATACATACGCCCTGAATATCGCGAGCATCTCCTGCGGCTGGGCTAGAACAACAAGGGGAGGCCGGAGGCTGGGGTTGTGGGGGTCACGCTGAGGTGAGGCTTTGAGGTCAAAATCGAACCCCAGTCAGATGATGCCAGGGCCAGAGAAGCGCGTTAGGGCTAGGCATTCCTCATGGGGATTTGAACACGCCAGGAAACGAGGGACTACCCAAGAAATAAAGCAATGCGTGATGACTGTGGGAACGTTAAAATCACCACAGAAATTGCCTTCTTTCGGGGGTAAGGAATGAGCCCTATTTCTGATAGTCGATAAAGTCGGAAATTGCAGATCTTCAACGCAATGTATAAATTTTCTATTCAGAGGTCAAAAATCAAGAAAATTTAGCATTGACATGTTAAAACATCCTGAAATGAGCTACAAAATAAAACTAATTTAATATAATGAAAGGTATGGAAATGTTACAGTACTTTCATTAAAGTATAAGTGCTGTAGACGATAAAATACAAGAATGCATCGCTGCTCTATGCATCTATCGATCTGAGCGAGTTACAGGCAAACTCGATAGAAAATTTTTTCTTCCCTAGTTACTCTTCAGAAGCAGAGATCGGGATCAAAAGTTCAACTTGCTCAAGATGAAAATATTAAGACCTGCAGAATTAAATGCAACGCTATTCCTCGATGTATTTGTGCTTCGAGTTCCAGGCACCAAATTCCGCATGACGCGAAATTCCTAGCAAGCGAATCTTATTATAAGCGGTTGGAAATTTATGTTCATTAGGTCGCGCTAATTGAAGCGAGGCGCACGTTTGAAGCTGGCCGGATGCAGCGAACTGGTCGTCGGTATCACGTTATAATCTGCGCTGCTCTCATGAGCGCCGTGACCCATTGTGCCTGGGTCTCCCGTGGCAGTCATGGGTCCCACTCGAATGCCTGTCAATTACCAGACTCTTCTGGTCATATTTATCGACCCAGAGACGCTCCGGTGGAAAAACACAGGATATTTGACCCCCGACAAGATACGGCCGCGTCAAGCGTCTCGTTCGCATGATCAATTTTACGTCAAATGATGGCCGGTGAGATGAGTCCGGTGATACACAGCCAAATAATATACATGATTTCAGCACAGAACTTGTTGATGTTCACCGGTCAGAAATATGAGATGCTAATGCAGAGGAGATCGGCGTCGGCTGATGGGTAAAAAGGGCGCAGTTTGGTGGTATAGAGCTCAGTTTGTTTCATCCTGTTAATTATTAGAAAATGCTTACTAGGATGCAAAGACAAATTTCCGAAGTGGCGGTAAAATTGAAATTCTCACTGTAAGAGAGGAACATCCGAGTATGTATCTGCTATTAACCCGAGCGGAAGTGTTGTTGACAGTATGTAAGCACGCTCTCCAGGCAACAATTTCGTGACAAATGAGATCACTATTTGGGTGATTGACCGCATCTGTTGTTGAGCCTATGTACAATGAATGTCTATCAGCCAGCTGGCTTGATGGCTTTAGATAAACTTATCTGTATGTACAATGAATGTCTATCAGCCAGCTGGCTTGATGGCTTATGATAAACTTATCTGTATGTACAATGAATGTCTATCAGCCAGCTGGCTTGATGGCTTATGATAAACTTGTCTGTATGTACAATGAATGTCTATCAGCCAACTGGCTTGATGGCTTATGATATACTTGTCTATATGTACGATGCAAGTTTGTCATGCTGCTGGCTTGACCGCGTCTGTTGATCAATTAATATCTATTATGCAGGCTATGCAGGTTACAAAAATTGACTTGAGCAGAATAAAATAACCGCAGGTTTAGTGCCATATTTGAATAAAAGGGCCATATTATAAAAGTCCAAAAACTCTTTTGTTAGCAATTGTGTCTTTTCAAAGTGTAGGTACTCTTAAAGTGTTCCAAAATTAATTTAAAAATAAATCGACAATAAAAGGCATTCTTTGCACATTAACCAAACTTTCACACACGAACAACTTCTGCCCAAATATACCAATATTACATAATCAAGCAGCTTGTCATTGTCAAGGTAAAATTGTCAAGGCGCAAATAAAATCCTTTTATTCATATTAGACTTGAGTAACAACGTTTAAGATCGTTAATAAAAGAGCATGCATGTGTATAGGAGAGCAGCTTGGTCACACAGCGATCGACAGCAGCGTTATCATGGCTCACATAAATGAGAATTTTATCTGTAAACATCAAGCGTTACTAACGAGATGTCAGAGGAGAGATTTGATGAGCTATACATCGTTATCGTTGTGACATGAACACGATGAAGGTAATTTGCACGCTTAAGGTTCCTATTAGTCTTATAAAGCCATCAACAACTCTAACAAATATTCAATAACTAACGATGTATTTTTCGTTTGTTGAGTTAGAATTTACAATTGAAATTTATACGACAATTCATTTTCACTCCCATAAGTTTCATGAAGACGCGATGCGCTATATATTTGCACGCTTGAAACTTGAGAAGCTCCGTTAGATAGATCGGATTTGCGATAGGTCTCATTTTTGGTTCATACATAAACAACCACTGACCAAAATACCAGTTTTAAGCTTAAGGATGACGATACAAGTGATAAATCATGTGTGAGAACGTAAGAGACAAGGCAAAAAAATTCGACATTCACATCAGAAGTAATGAGCGGGAATTGGAGACTACATCATTAGACCCACGTAATCAAGCAGTCTTAGAGCCAGAGTGTCAGATGACATTTAACAAAATAGATAATGTAATGACTATCTTTACAGTGTGACGAATACAACTAAATTTTATCTCCGAGAATTATCAGATACGTAAATGAAGCGAAGAACAAACCATATGGAATATGTTCACGATGCTTCCTGATCGGTCGTATATAATGTACCGTACATAGAGGCGAAGTTATAAGCCTCATTAGAATTTAATATCGGGCACATGTGTGGTAAGGAAATGTAGTAATACAACGATATTGTAGCACTTTAAGCTATGCGTCAGCACGGTAAATAACGGACAGCAACGAAAACTTGAACTTTTGAAAACCATGAAGTGATATCCATCGTATAAACCAAACATTAATATTACTTAATAAAAAATATCAACAGGATATTGAGATCGCACCCCGCCATATCGTAACAAATCTCGCGCCCTAACAACCGCGCGATCTTCCAGAAGATCAGCATCGTACAGACGATCTACGAGGCCGAGTAATCGCGTTGATGGCGACCTAGCATGTCGGGATTACATCTCTCGGTCACGCAGCCCGTGTCTAATGGAGGTGCCGAGAACTTCCTAATAGAGACGCCTGGGGACCGAATCATCTCCGCTGAAGGTAAAGCCTCTCGATAAACCAACCCTCTTATATAGGCCTCCGTACACACTCGCTCAACTCTTGTCGTCCACGCTAACGATCGTGACATGGAACATTCGCTGCACTGCGCCAGATTCCCGCAGTTGTATTTTTGTGCGTACATTTTGGCATACTTTGCTGATGTATGGCACACTACAACCGCGAAACTAAAATTACCTAAAGCGTACAAAATTGTGATTATAATTAACTCTTCAATTTAAATTGAAAACGTAAATATCCAAAATGTTTATCTCCAGCATTGATAACTGGAACTAGCTGGACGGATTTTTGCACCAACAGGAATCTACATGAAAGCACGATCAGGGAAGGTAAANAAGTAACCCTTTTGTTTTCATATACGAATGTCAAATGCCGTGCGATATCAACAAGATAATTCATCATGAGGAAGTGAATCTCAGTTTTCCTACCACAAAAAAATGTTTGAGGAGAATTAAGTTGTCAGTGCGAGCGTGAGTTTCTGGCCAGTAAAATACCTCCAAATGAGAGCTCACCGCTCATGGTTAGCAGAGCAGAGTCATTACCTTCGAGAGCCCATAATTCTTGTAGTCTATAATCCTTATAGTTCATAGTCCTTATAGCCCATAATCCTTATAGTTCATAGTCTTAGCCCATATAATCCTTATAGCCCATCATTCTTATAGCCCATAATCCTTATAGTTCATATCCTTATAGCCACGATCCTTATTTGACAAGTAACAGCATCTTGCATCAGCTGGCCCAAAGGAGGGCAAATAGACGGAACACGTCCAACGTTACATCCGACGACGACTCGGAGACGGAGGACGACGAAGGCGGCGCATCAGCGTGACCGGGGACTAGGAAGTCCCGAACTCATCATAAGGTCATAAGGTCATATGGCCCATAATCCTTATAGCCCATAATCCTTAGTATAGTCATAATCCTTATAGTCCATAATCCTTATAGCCCATAATCCTTACAGCCCATAATCCTTATAGCTCATAATCCTTATAGCCCATAATCCTTATAGCCCATAATCCTTACAGCACATACATAATCCGTATAGACAAAGAAAAATCTCACTTCAAGATCTCGCTCTCATTTATTGTTAATAATTTCTACTTAGCCTGCGGATTGCCTATAGCTGTGCCAGCGACTAGCCGGTAAAACAGCCTTGACCATCGAAATGACAAATACCAGCAACTACATGATAAGGGACTAGCGTTCTCCAGCACTGCACACGAATCATTGAATCATTTACAAATGTGCACTGCCCACGAATCATTGACTCTTTCATGTGGTAAAATATTAATTAGTGCTGACCTGCTGGCGCAGCTTGGCTAGGATATCTTCCCCAGCGTCTGCCCCCGGTGGGGGGCGCAGGGGGCTGTCCCGTCCCCCACCGTTACTGGCGTTCATGTCGTCCTCCATGTCGTTGAGGCGGCTGTCATCTCCAGACTGCAAATACAAGAAAATACCCATTATTTCAGCACTTTATAAATTGGATAGAATTAAAATTATTTACTTCTTGGCTTGAATTAAAGTTATTTACCTCGATCGTTATCAGTCATGTTCAGATAATGAATATTTCACATTTCGGTGAAAGAAGTCGGAGGCCTACTCAACACTGGGTCGTTCACTAACATTCATCTAACGAAACTTTATAAAGGTTATTTTCGGGTTCAGAACCTGGATCATGGATGAGGATAGGAAAATAATGAATAAAACCTTCTCTTAAGAATGACAACAATAAAAAAACTGCGGCTTCTGTCAATAGAAGCAACATTTGCTGCCATACAGAACCGTCGCACCACAGGACCGTCGCACCACAGGACCCGTCGCACTACAGGACCGTCGCACTACAGGACCGTCGCACTACAGGACCGTCGCACTACAGGACCGTCGCACTACAGGACCACCGTCGCACCACAGGACCGTCGCACTACAGGACCGTCGCACCACAGGACCGTCGCACTACAGGACCGTCGCACCACAGGACCCGGCCGTTCCCCACAGCGCATAGTTCCCCACAGCGCATAGTTCTCCACAGCGCATAGTTCCCCACAGCGCATAGTTCACCACAGCGCATAGTCCCCAGCATGCGCGCGATCGCTTGTCGGAGCGGCGATGCAATCATGCGTGAGGCTCGGCATTCAAATTTGCTGTTGGCCTCCGCCCAGCGCCTGAGTGACAGCGACATGCAATGCTGCGCCCCGGATTAAAATAATGCAATCATCGGAGCTCGAGTGAATGGTCTGCAGGTCGCGAGGGAGCGCGTAAAGTGACGACATATTGTGAAGGGTAGCGTATTTCATGGCTATTTATTCCGGAGGTGGATAGGAACCTCGCCCTTCATTGACCCTACAGGTCATGCAACTGAAGGCGAGAGTAATATCATAAAAATATAAGACAGATTTAAGAAGGAAGAGAACGAAATGAGCTGGAGCCATCCAGAGTGCGAACTACAAGCCAACACGCTGACGCTTGATGGGTTCCACGGATCACTTTTTGTTTAAGTAGAATCACTAAATTTATTAATAAATTAACAGAGGAAACTTATATACATCATTAGTCATCATTTTCAGCTAGACTTTATAAACAAATAAGCGCCAATTGCTTCAATGAAGATATTCTGAATTTTCTAGGCGTTTTCTTTGCTTTCAAATTCAGAGGCAAGTTTTGATAATTAGGAACATTTCAACATTATAAAAGACAAATAAGAACTTCGTAACATGTGTACGTTCCTGTTCAAGTTGCATCCCAAGCAAGGCGGCCGACAAAGTGACTGCCACAGCGCGATTGGAATGGGGAGAACAAGCTTCAGAACAGCAAAAAATTATCCATAATATACTTACAATGCTTAACTAAACAATACTCATCATATTTCAACCCACAACCCACAAAGGACTTCTGTCTAGTATCTAATCTCTCTAAATCCAGCCTGTCGTATTCCGGCATTTCCGGATCCAGAGAGCGTTTTCTTAACTTAATCGTTCCAGTACAATTCAAGTGTGTTATTAATGAGCTTTTTATATGAAAAGACGTCGACCAAATATTTCACAGATCCATAATTTTCGTTGAAGGCGAAATATATTGAAGCGCAGAATTGAGTTCTTGAGGTTAGAACCAAAAATTCATAATTTAATACTATTTCTAAATCTAAATTATGAGTTGCTGCCGATTGATACTGACACCAAAAAAATGCTCTGTTCAAATTTCCTGCAAAAAACCTGTGATAATAAATGCATCACCAATTTGAAATAAGTAATTTTTGAGATCACCTTGCCTAATTCTGTATTTAATTTTTGTATTGGATTGAAAGTTTATTACCTAGTGCCTATTCTTCGTTCCTATTTGTACTTCCAATACCAGTTCCTATTCCCTGTTCTCATTCCCACTTTCAATTCATAGTTCCTATTCCTACTTTCAATTTCCATTCCAAGTTACGATTCCAAGTTGCGATTCCAAGTTGCGATTCCAAGTTCCCATTCCAAGTTCCCATTCCTAGTTCCCATTCCTAGTTCCCATTCCTGGCTGTCATTCCTGGCATCAATTCCTGGCTCGTATTCCTAGCTCCAATTCCTAGCTCAAATTCCTATATTCCATTCCTAGTTCCCATTTCCTAGTTCCCATTTCTATTTCCCATTTCTATTTCCCATTTCTATTTCCCATTTCTAGTTCCCATTACTAGTTCCCATTCCAAGTTCACATTCCTGGTTCCCATTCCTAGTTCCCATTCTTAGTTCCCATTCCTAGCTCCTTCTCCAAGCTCCTATTCCCAGCTCCTATTACTAGTTGCTAGCTCAAATCAATGTTACCAAAAGTCATCACTATCAAGACTAGACGGTTTATGCATCGATGATGCGCGTGATAAAACAAGTCTTTCCATTCCTCATAAGGGTAATAAACATTTTTATAGTAAAATTATCTGCCAGTGCCTCATCGAAATTTTCATTATGTTTTCTTTACGGATTTCATCTCTTCACCTCGCAGAGAATCTTGGTCTTTTGTGTATTTCAGCAGGACTCTGGTCCAGGGATTGAAATCGTGCCCGCTGTTCGTACTTTCAATCATTTTACGATGGTTTTAATTGCGCCAGGAGGCGCCTGTTAGAAGCCAGATACGCCACCCAAGTTTCAGAGGCTGGCCTCCTCCTTAAGGGCCGCCGTAAGATCAACCACACGATTATAAAGCGACCATCAGAGATCATCAAAGTGAGGCTATAATTAAGTAGACACGAGACGACCATAACCAGCTATTTGCCGCTTGCCTCTTTACAGTAAAAGCTACAAGCAATCTACAGGAAATCAACCTCGGAAAAAAGATGATTAGAAGACTTTAAGAGATGGATTCTGGTATCCTTGATTTCCATACATAATTACTGGGCACTCGAGACAACCACGAACAACCGTGACCGACAGCCCACAGGTGAAAACTAGGCACAGCACTTGAAAATATTCTGCATTACTGTGTGGAATCACTAACTCCTGTTAACGCTGCATTTTAATGTATTCTAAAAGTTTTTTGAACTCGCATCGCGTGCAAGTCAAGATTTACCGAGCCAGTATTATTAACAATTCTTTAGTATTAACAGCGTTTGTGTTTAATGAGTGGCGTGCACTTGACAGATTTTGATGCTACGAGCTCAATTAGAAGTTTAGAACATCAATGCACCCTAATTATGAATACATTTGACGACATTAATATACGAACAAAGGGCAAAGCTCTTGCGCAGAAATTATTTCTAATCTGGATGGAGAGTGCATAAAAGAGCGGAAAATACAAGAACTTAATTGGAAAATAAAAAAAATTAAAATGGTTCGGTTTGAATTCTTGGTTGAAATCAAATTCACCAATAGCGCAAGAAGCCGCATGATTGCAGTTGATAAAATAGTAGTGTTACCGAATCAAGTAAGCTGCAGAATGGAGGGTTGGAAATATATTCAATATATATTTTCAATAACGTTTCGCAAATAGCTAATTTTCTAAGGGTTCGGTATGTTTTTCTATGGGGAAACGTCAAATGTGATTTTCCAATGCAACGAGCGAAATGTCGCAACGGTATCCTTGGAATTTTGTGCTGCTATTCTAGACTGAGGAAATCAAGCAGACGCACGCTGTGCCTCTGCGCTTAATTAATTGATATGCGTACGGTAAATTATTTCCGGCGTGATCTTGCCCAATGCTTCCTCGTGAACGCTTGTATCGAGACTCGTAAAAACAGCCATGGGCATATAGGTCGGTGTACGACTCAGCGTAAGCAATATAACTCCACATTTGCATCCATAACAAGGCTGATTGCGCACAATCTCTGAAGCATGAAAAATGTCCCATAAGACCATCAAAATTCTTCAAAAAATTATATGGTCATAAATTCCTTCTTGTCATGTAAAAATAACACAAACTAGGTAAATGAAAATTCATCCGAACTACCTCATTTTTAGACATTCCAAATGCGATAGTTCAATTCATTTCAAGTATCGGTTGATATAAATTTGTATCAGTAATTCCTGCCCGTAAACCACTTCACACAAGAGCTCGTTATATTATACAAACGTCACCCGTGCAATCTTAATTGTTGGCGAATAATGAACCGCCAGACATTCAATACAATGTAAAATATTCCAAATGAGAGTCACATGAACATTCCATAAAATTAGACCAGAGACAAAGCAACGAAATGGTAGTCAGCTTATTTAAGTTGAGTTAAATCGGGCTAAAGTATAGCAATGCATTTCATACCTTCAGAGAAGGGACATCCAGCGTCGAGAACGACATGCATTCTATCCCCGCCATGGCGAGAATCTCAACTTTTCTTAAATCATTAATTGTCACAAAATTTATTCCTGAAAATATTTGATCAGTTTAGTTGGCGAACTTCAAAAAGTGGTTTATTCACACTAGGGCATATCTGTTGTTTTCTTTTACAATAATTCTGATATTATCGACTGGATTCGCCCCGCGGTAATGACCATGCACGGCCTCAATTCTGAACAATAATCAAAACATTCATTCCCTGTCTTATTGATTATAATTAGTGCTAATCCGGAAAAAAATTGGTAAAATATGTCTGAAATTTAAATTTAATTTAAAAGAGTTTCAAATCATTTCATATAGATTAGGTAGGAACAAATTTATTAAATATCAAAAATCACATAACACCGCAAATAACCAACGAGAGGAGAATTTTTTTAAAATAAAGCTACCTGACTACCAGGCTGAAGAAAGATCATGACCTTTGAAGGATGAGATCTGTAGATCACACCCAGCAGATCATTAGAGATCCATACCAAGAGACAAGGACGCCACAGCAGACCCCCAAGGGCGGCTCTAAATACCTCGGAGACCGCCTCCACATGCCCCTCCACTGGGTAGGTCTCGTCCGATATCAACCTATTATAGAAAGCACAGTACAGAGATCCTTTTCTTAATGCTCTCGCTTCACTATGTCAATTCACTTCCCATAAGCACAGTTATTCAGTAGTAAAGTTCATGAATACTTGGGATACATACTCGTGCTTCACATTTTACACAGAAGAATGTATGCACTATGATTGGCCTTGAAAAAACCCACGATCAGGGAAAGATTAATAGCCAACTAAGAATAACAGCAATACAGATTTTCTATGCATCGCATCAAACTGAACTAGCCATCTCCTTAACTATCGCACCACGTAAACTGTAAGAACAATCGAACAAATTAGCTCTCGACTACTTTCCTATGGTTTCTCATTTTAAAAAATTACAAAATTTTGTTACATTCTCATTATTTTTGTTTAAAAAACTCAAAGAGACAGGAGAGAGATTGGGACACGAAATAAGTAGATGGACACTCGAGACGCAGAAACGAATTCTCAAAATAATGGTCAGAGTGACTTTATGTCGCCTACAAGCAACAATTGTTGTATGACCACGTAATCCATTGTTCTGTCTTCGTTAAAACCGCCAATAAATCCGCCAAACTATCGGAGCAAGATTTCCAATTTGCTCTAATTTAACGACGTGATTTTGATTAGAGTCATCAGCCCAGTAGCCCTCCCCCCGGAACACAGGCACGACCACAGCACAGGGCGGCAGGCGCAGCGTTCGCTGCGGACTTCGCACTGAGAATGACGCGGCGGCCGCACATTTGCGCGCTCCTGCTTATCACGAGTCCATTTCCGACGTGGCCTTGCCCGAGGCACCTGTCCTCGCTCTGGCGTGATCACTATTTTTACTATCATACCACATGCCACAACATTAACATTTGATTTATTTTATAATGATCAACCCCAGTCACGCACGAAACTTCATCAGGAGTACGTTTTGATTCGTTAGCTTAATATCAATGGAGTTTTAACAAGGTAAAAATTGTATACCGGTATTCAAAGTAATGAGTTAAACTCAAGAAACTATGTTCTTCTCAGTAACAACTATACTACGTGATCGTAGCTCTCTTAAATTCAATAATCGAAGTATTGAAAAAAGCGAAATTTTACGTACATTTCATGCCAACAAAACTCAAAAGGTTGGAAGTTCAATGAATAAGGCGGCGTTGAAGATCATATACAGAGATTTAAACATCGACTCAATCGCTGCCAAAAATAATAATAATTTAAAGCAAAATATTTGTCAGTGGTTGCTACGAGTTAGGCTTTTATTTGGAGCGGGCGGGGCTAAAGTAAACCGCCTTATCGACTTGGGTTTATCATCGGAAGCCCTGGGCCGAGCCTGCACCATACACTGATAACAGCTCGAGGATGCGCAACTATCAAACAGCAAAGCCAGAGCACGCGTAAACAAACTGCCGTAATGAGGGTTACTTATATACGCCACACCAGCAGCCATGCCACAGTGACCACTTACGCCACACCAGCAGCCATGACGCAGCTAGTGACTGTCACTTACGCCACACCAGCAGCCATGACGCAGTGACCACTTACGCCACACCAGCAGCCATGCCGCAGTGACCGTCACTTACGCCACACCAACAGCCATGACGCAGCTAGTGACTGTCACTTACGCCACACCAGCAGCCATGACGCAGTGACCACTTATGCCACACCAACAGCCATGACGCAGCTAGTGACTGTCACTTACGCCACACCAACAGCCATGCCACAGTGACCACTTACGCCACACCAACAGCCATGCCGCAGTGACCGTCACTTACGCCACACCAACAGCCATGACGCAGTGACTGTCACTTATGCCACACCAGCAGCCATGCCACAGTGACTGTCACTTACGCCACACCAGAGTCACTTACGCCACGCCAGCAGCCGTGCCACAGTGACCGTCACTTACGCCACACCAGCAGCCATGCCAGTGACCGTCACTTACGCCACACCAGCAGCCATGCCGCAGTGACTGTCACTTATGCCACACCAGCAGCCATGCCGCAGTGACTGTCACTTACGCCACACCAGCAGCCATGCCACAGCGACCGTCACTTACGCCACACCAACAGCCATGACGCAGCTAGTGACTGTCACTTACGCCACACCAACAGCCATGACGCAGTGACCGTCACTTACGCCACACCAGCAGCCATGCCACAGTGACTGTCACTTACGCCACACCAGCAGCCATGACGCAGTCACTGTCACTTACGCCACACTAGCAGCCATGCCACAGTGACTGTCACTTACGCCACACCAGCAGCCATGACGCAGAGACCGTAGTGCTGTTAATTCAGAGGTTCATTCCAAGCGTTGTGTACAACATTATTTCCTTTTAAAATACTTGATGTTTTAGCAATCTCAAATTCTAGTACTAGCACATTTGAAGTCGACTTCTGTTGCGAAAACTTCTCTTTGATGCACAACATGAAAAGTATTTCAACCATACAAAATAGGCAAGGCACAAGAAACCAAAGAAAATATTCCCGTAGCCATTCCGAATACGACCGCTAGTATCAAATTGTGAACAAAGATGCCAACCTCTTAACACTGGCATCATCGGACAAATAACAATTCTGAAAAATCTTGTATCTTACGTTGGCTGCGGCGCGTTGCGGCTATTCACTTTTCTCGCGACTGTCCTCCCTTCTCTTCACAAAGAGCGAACACATTTTAATACGCCGTCCAAGTCGTGTTCAAATTTCTGCCCAGGCATCTAGATAGCTTTCGTGTTCTCTCGCCACACAACCTGCCACCGAAATCGCCACGCAGGCCCAGGCATCTAGATCGTGTTCGTGTTCTCTCGCCACACAACCTGCCACCGAGATCGCCACACAGGCCAGGGACTGCGTCCCTCAAGGTCCCCACGCCAGCCTCCCAGTCTGGGTCCCCGCGCTGGAGGACCAACGGCGCGCGGTTGCCGAGGCTGATCAGACGTTGCTCTTTTGACGCTGCGCAGGCAGCCTGCCGCATTGTCTTCATTTATTATAGCCCGTTTGGAACACCATTGAGAACAGTAATCGTTTTCAATGGAAAAAATTGCTTCCCATTCTTCTCGATCGGTTCATTAAATCTTTTCGGTTTCGGTCCTGAAATATAGCCTTTAGTTTAAACTATGTGCGTTACCGTGATTTTGTATGATACCAGTCAGGCTTTGAGTTCCATTTGTAAATTAGCAAGTTGGGATGCTCCATAAACCACATTAAATAATTGTTCTGGGACGATGTTGATCGGACAAGAAATTAGTATCGCAAGTGATCTACATGAAAAACTGAAGTATCGTTCCTAAACGCTTGCTTCAGGTACCCAATATTTTCAAGACGAAAATACCTGATCTTTTCGATTTCACATTTTGGCACATAAAATTTTAATGGCAAGCCCTTCAGGACTTTCTAACTCGATCATGCATGGGTAAGAAAAACTTGGCTCATTTTTCTGCCCTGAAATTCAAAGTCATTGCATGGTTACAGCAACGTTAGCATAGCTTTTAATTGTCGAAAGCTCTAGTTCATCAGAAATCTGCCGTTCTAATACATTTTTACGATACATCAAGCCTTTTCTTTTCCAGGCTGTTTTTATCCCAGTACAAAAAGACTGAACCACCCACGCACGAAAGAAAAAAAAATGTGCCTATACAATGGCAGAGACAAAAAAGCCGCGACCACGACCAACTTTTAATTCCCATAGAAAAACCGCAAAAGATATTAAAATTTCGAGCAGACACAATGCGGCCGATATAAAAGAATAGGCCTGCGCCATAATAGGCCGACTCATTGGCTCCATCTTCGCTTAACGGTTAAGAGCTTGGCAGCGGCCTTCCTACGCTGCCGTTTAAACGTATACGGCATTCAGTGACGAGATACGAGCTATATTGTCTTGCTTTATATGTTCGGGGCATTCAGTGACGAGATACGAGCTATATGGTGCCTTCGCTTTATACATTCACGGCATTCAGTGACGAGATACGATATATGGTCCCTTCGCTTTATACATTCACGGCATTCAGTGACGAGATACGATATATGGTGCCTTCGCTTTATACATTCACTGCATTCAGTGATGAGATACGAGCTATATTGTGCCCATGTCTCATACATTCACGGCATTCAGTATCGAGATACGAGCCATATTGTGCCCATGTCTCATACATTCACGGCATTCAGTGACGAGATACGAGCTATATTGTGCCCATGTCTCATACATTTACGGCATTCAGTGACGAGATACGAGCTATATTGTGCCCATGTCTCATACATTCACGGCATTCAGTGACGAGATACGAGCTATATTGTGCCCATGTCTCTTACATTCACGGCATTCAGTGACAACGTACGAGTTGTGTTGTGCCTTCCTAAGTTTCTATATATCGTACATTCAAGTCACTATAGCAAACACGAGTTATACATTGTGTTATCAATGTCAGCTCACGAATGCAAGGAGTGACCGTATTCTTGAATCGAGGAAGGACATTTTATACCGAACTTAAGCGGACGCGCGTTTTATCCTAGCTTGTCGTATAATCAATTAATTATACATATTCAGATTGAATATATTCATTTTATTTTATCGAAAATTAAGCAACGATGGCGACTGTATCGTATTAGCAAGCTACAAGCCACGGCCATCCAGGCAATTAATATCACTTTCTTCGTACGGTA